CCCCACCCTGCCCCGCCCCGCCCCACCCTTCCATACTCACCCCTCCCCATCCTGCCCCACTCCACCCCACCCTGGCCTGCTGCCATCCATCTTACAAGCACTAATGTCATTTAAAAATATATATTTCCTTTTACAGATTCACCTTTTTGGAGTTCTGCTGGCCATTTTAGGAAACCTGGTTATCAGCATTTCCCTAAATATCCAGGTAAGTAAAACTCTACTTTTCTGACTATAGAATCTAGGAATACCTGTCACAGATTAGGGCATGTTCCTTTCTGCAGCAGTTTCACCCATTAAAAACAGAAGAAAAATAATAAAAAAACATATTTTGTGATCTAACTGTGGAATGCAGGTCTTGAAGAAAGTAGGGTATGTGGTAAACTGATCTGAGCCTAGAAGAGCTGATGGTGGTGAAGTAAAAACTCAGTAAATGTTAACTTCAGACGGAAGCATGAATTCAGTCCAAATTGTAAATCATTTAATGAGCCAGTTTGAAACAGAATCAAATATAGTTTCTAAAACTACAGAATTAAAATAGATCTGAACATTAAAATATCTCCTTGAAAATTTGTTATAGTATGCATTGAAAATGTTTTCTTCTACAGTGCTCTGTGTTTTAATTTTATTCATATTTTATACACATTTTAATACACTGAAATATTTGCTTTCTCACCCACAAACAGTGTACCATACTTAGAAAGGCCTCCCTTGTCCAGTCTGCTGCTGCTGCTGCTTTCTGGCACTAGGGATTAAGTTAGGACCCTATGCACACTGGGTAAGTGCTACACCGCTGAGCTCCAGATGCAGCCGTAAGAATTCTTCTAGCTTTCTATCTGTAAGATAATCTGGACCAGTTCACTAGTCTTATAAGGAAATATGCTCAGTTATCATAAAACCTAGGGGAAATGCACTGAATGAGTCCCTCAGAAATTCACTGGTTTGCTTTGTTTGGCAGTGCTGGGGGTGAAACTCAGAGCCATGTGGGGGCTTGTGAGGGTCTCTATCACTGAACTATACCCGAGCACATCGTATTCATAGTTTAAATACAAAGAAATATTCAAACCAGATATGAATGAGTTCGCTGGCCACAATCCCCAACAACTTGCTGTATTAACTGTGGTAGATGCTTCAACTCCTTCCTCAGAGTCCCTTCTAAACACGTTCTTTAATACTTCAGTGCCTTTACTTTGTGTTCTTTTGGAATCTGGAACTATTTTAAATTGTAAAAGACCTGTTTTGGCATAGTGTTCTAAAACACCTCTTACCTCCATAAGATAATAAAAATTTTAAAGTTGTAAGGCAAAAAAATAAAAAAAGTGTATAAAAGACCCTCCAGACTATAGAATGCTATAGAATTCTGCTATTCATATACTTGGGACCAAAACAAAGCCTTAATAGTTTGCAAATTAAATTAGAAAGCTCTGATGTAAATTTGTAAGATCTAAACTTTCAAAGCACGTGGGGTTTGGTTGTGCATGCCTTTAATTCTAGCACTTAGGAGGCAGAGGCAGAGGAATCTCTGAAAATTTTGAGACCAGCTTGGTCTACATAACAAGTCCCATGCCAACCAGGGCTACATGGTGAGAGACTCAAAAATAAATCAAATTTGACAGCAAGTTTTAATTGGATGGATATGTTTTCTATTTATATTCTGATTTGCTTCTAGAAATATTCTCATCTTCATTTGGCCCAGAAAGAGCACCCGAAGCCATACTTCAAGAGTGTGCTTTGGCTGACTGGAGTCCTGCTGATGGCCATAGGAGAGACAGGCAACTTCGCAGCCTACGGGGTTGCTCCGATCACTCTGGTCGCACCACTGGGCTGCATGTCAGTTACAGGTGGGTCATCATCCCGATGTTGGCAAATTAAATGTCCACAAGTTAGAAGACTTGATTTTAAAATGTAGCAGATGATCTCTTTCTTAGTCCTGAGCATGTTGACATAGGATTCCAGTTCTAATCCGTTATGTCCCGCCAGAGCACCACGCTAACCACATAGAAATGTGTTCTATAGCTTTTCCATTTACACCTAAAGGTAATAGTCTCAGCATGAAAGTCTTAATAAGTTCAATTTTTGTCACTTTAAATGTTATACTGGTTTTGCTTTGTTTCATTTTGTTTCAAGACAGGGTTTCTCAGTGTATCCCTGGCTGTCCTGGAACTTGCTCTTCAGACCAGCTGGTCTTGAATTCAAAGAGATCCGCCTGCTTCTGCCTCCCGGGTACTAGGATTGAAGGCGTGCACCGCTACTGCCTGGCATTATACTATGTTCGTGATCACTTATGGATTATCTAAAAACATTTATAGTGCAATTATATTTTGTTTTTCTGTTAAGTTGACAATACATATAGTTGGGTCACTGATGTCTGATCACGAAGCCATTTTTTAGCCCATCTTTGACATTAAAAATTAAATGTGAATTATTCTCAATTACCATAAGAATGTACAGTTTTATAGTAATGTCACATTTATCCCCTTTTAAAATTCACATGACTAAGAGACATGTATTTAGAGATGAGTAAAATGAGGTGTTTTTTTTTAAAGCACAAAAGTTACTGCTAACAAGAAGGATAAATGCTATAAGCCTTGTTAAAAGCTCATAAAACATCTTTTGAGTTTTATTCTTTATCTGCTGCTATGGAGACAGCATATTTCTAAATTTCTGTGAATTTAGAATCTTCACTGAAATAGAAACAACTTGGTAGTCTTTGTGAATGACTAGAACAAGCCCAAGTTTCTTATTTCTTCAAAGCATGATCTGGCACTCACAAGAAAGTGTAGCTTAAACTGAAATAACATATATTCAGACAGAATTCCATTTTATTTTAGAAGCCTCTCCTTTCCTTAAAACTTTTAAAATATTTAAGATTATATTATAGTAAATCATAATATAGTAAATATATAGTAAATAAAACTATAGTTTAGTAAGGTTACATTATAGTAAATATATAGAAATAAAGAATACTTATTTCACTTTCTAGAAGTTGTTGAACCTGCACATTGGGGCTGAGGAGATGGGCCTGCGGGGAAAGTACGCATCTACTTTCCAAGCGTGAGAGCCTGAGTTTGAATCCTCAGAACCCTTGTAGAAGCAAGGTAGACTGGCACCTGGCCTGCAAGCTCAGCTCATTGGGACAGAGACAAGTAGATGCCAAGGACTCACTGGCTAGCCTGTCTAGCTGAAACATGAACCCCAGGTCTAGTGAGGGTCTTCGTCATAAGAAAATAAGGTGGACAGTGGTAGAGGAAGACACTTCATTGTCCACAGGCCTCCACACATGTAACACCACACATGTGTCACACATGCATACACCATATGTATATGCACATATAAAAGAATCCACATACTGATACTATACTGAAGAGGCACAGCTTATACAACCACTTACCATTTTTGCCATCCCAATAAAATAAGCTGGGTATGTCTTCTACTTTATTGAATATAATACGTCCATAGATAGCCTATCCTTTTTTTTCTCAGTATCTGAGAATAACAGTAAGAGTTCTCGCTGGGTTGTCAACATGGGGCATGGATCCTTGTGGTTTTCTGAAGTGCAGTGCTTCTCTTCAGGTTGTACATCTTGCTGTCTTTCCTTTTGTTCCTTTCTGTTTTATACTCTCTTTCCATGAGGGAAGAGTGTGTAGGCAGCACCCGTGGACACCGGGGGGGGGGGGGGGGGGCTGTGCACCGCATTGGAGACCCAGGGGAGGGCTGTGCACTGCATTGTACTGACTCTGTTCATGTATGTTCTCCTGGCTTTTGGGAAGTTGTAGTAGAGCATGGCTAAGGTGAGAATTCTCAAGTCGCCAGACCTGGGCAGGGAGAACATCAACGACAGTCAAGGAGGCATGAACCCGATTGTGTCACGGTGCTTGCTCAAAGCTCCCATTAGTAACTAGGAACTCAAGTTTTCCACCCTGCCACTCAGTGTATCCCTTCCCGAGCCCCTGCTCCACTCGATCCCTCTGCCTGGATGATGACTTCTTCAAAAGGTGAAGCCTAATCTTTTGCCTGCTTAGTCTCGGTGCTTGTACTGGAGATTATTTTCAGCCACCTCCTTTCTGACCATTTAAAAATATCCAAAGAAGGGAGTTTACAGCCTCAGAAACACATCGTGTCTTCCTCTACAACAGTCATACACAGCAGTAATGCTCATAAACACTGATCCACCCTCTCCAGCTGCGAGGGAAGTGTGTGGATGGTAGGGGCTGCAACGGAAGCAAGATTCCCCCGAACAACAGCCCATGATGCCAGAGACGTCAGGTGTGGAAGAGAAACAGCTCTCAAAACAAATAGCTGTGTCAGCAGACAGGCAGGAAGGCGGTTCCAGACTTTTCTCAGCTGAGGTTTCCTCACTTTTTCTTCTTGAGAACTTTAGGAAAGAAATGAAACTTCCCTTTGAATTTGAAAAAAAAGATACCATATGCTATCATTTTACTTTATAGTATTATATTATATTATATTATATTATATTATATTATATTATATTATATTATATTATATACAATAGTATATACTTTATAGTTATACTTTATTATTTTTCTTCTGGCTTTTGCCTTTAAATTTGTGTGTCTGAGTGCATGTGCGCGCACACGTGTACACACGTGCATGTGTGTGTGTGTGTGTGTGTGTGTACATTGTGGTGCATTTATAGACCTGTCCCTGGAAGAAGAGAACTCACCCCTGCAGGCTGTCCTCTGACTGCCATACATATATAAATAAATAAATGTAAATGAAAGTTTTGTAGAGATTTCATAATCACACAGGTATCTGAAGTTTGGGAGATAGACAATTCCATGGGGTTTAAGCCATTGTGTGTCTTCAGAGGTCGATCAGTAAACAAGAACCTGAGGGCCACAGGCACCTTTCTGAGGAGCGTCTTTAAAAACAGTAGTTTCTGCAGAAACCTCTTTAGGTGACACTCACAAGTACCCCAGGCCTTCTGGAGACTCAGCCTAAATCCCGCCACCCCCGCCACCCCCACCAGCCCCGCTATGCCAAGGTGTAGAGACACAGCAGTGGGGAACAGCCTTCGTGCTCTGGGGGCTGTGTGCCCAGGGCCCTGTGTCCCTTTCATTCTCCACAGACAATCCAGTTCCTAATGCTTGTTCTGACTACAGCACTAGCTGTGCTGCGGTGTAATTAATTCTAAATGTCTGTCTGTTTTTGTGCTTCTCTAGGCTGGCTAGTGCTCCCATAAAGGAGCCAGTAGGAGGTCATGCACAGCTCTGGGGACACACTCCCAGCATGGACTTCACTCCTGCCCCGGCCAGCTCTGCATCCTCATGCATGTAGTTTAAACCATGTTTATTCCTCAGATCAGTAGCCTGTCAAATGGCAAGAAAAGTAGTTGCTCTTTCAGAGGGGCTCATGGAAACCTGTAAAACTGAGTGACCTTAGAGTACCGGCTGACCTGCAGCACGGGCTGCTGTCACTGTCTTATGAGGACCATCCTCCCTGCATAGGAACAAAGTGCAGTGTTCTCTGTTGGGGGAATGCTTTGCATTGTTCTTGTCCATGCAGTGGTTAATTTGCAGGGAGCAGAAAGTAGAATCCTCTCAGCTCATTTGTTCATCCATGAAGCAGCAATTACCCTTCAACTCCTCCACACTTTCCCTGTGAGCATACTGTCAAACTCCAGAATTTCTAAATAACAAACCAAGACAAAGCACGCTTTCTAAAACACATACAGGACCTGCATGGTGGCGCACACCTATAATATAACAGTGGGGAGACTGAGGCAGGAGGTTTGCCACTAACTCAAGGCTGACCTGGACTATGTGGTAAGAACCAGACCAGCCATTGCTACATACTAAGACCCTTTCTGGATAAATAAAAGGCACTCCTCCCCAAGGCTCAAGGACTATCTTGGAAGAGGGAGCAGAAAGATTTTAAGTCAAAGGTTAAAGAGAACCAGAGATAACCAGTGTAAAATGGCATCTTCTAGGCATGATAGTACTGCTCCGGTCATGAACTCATAGCACCTGTGACTGCCTATGCAGCACCTGCACAGATGAAGCCAGTTATCACTGGAGTGTGGCAGGGAGGGAGGAAGTGAGCAATGGCCTGACTCACGCTTGCCTTCCACCGGGTTCACAGTGACCCAAGTGTCTGGTTCTCCAGTCAACTGAGACCCAGGAACCTCATACAACATGACCTGCAGAGCTGTTCTGGATGTAATGATAAACTGATGAAATGGACAGCAGTTCCTTTTTTAAAAAATATATTCCTTTATTTTTAATTTTAAGATTTATTTATAAAGGGAGGATATGGCTATGTACATGTGAGAGAAGGTGCCTACAGAGGGTAGAGTCATCAGATGTCCTGAAGCTGGAATTACAGATGGTTGTAAGCACACGCACACGTGCGCACACACACACACACACACACACGTGCACACCATGGACATGGGTGGGAACAAAACTCAGGCCCTCTGCAAGAATAGTACATACTCTTAGCTGCCATTTCTCCAACCTAAGATTTCAATTTATGATGTTGCATAGTTAATCAGTTCACTGGGAGATGCTCAAGAATATTCACCCTGTGAATACTTCGAAGTTCCTAAGCCTATTCCAAAGAGGATGAATGAGACCATTCCTGCATCTACAAAATATGGCCTTACACTTAATTGTTGTCCATTTTATACCTTTATAAGTAAGTTTGATGCTATAAATAGATATAGAGATGGTTAAAAATAAGGAAGTTATCTACAGCCCAGAAATTGAGGCTATGTGGGATTAAGGAGATTCATGGGGAATCTCACTCAGTATAAAGTCAATTAATCCAAGAGCAGCTAGCAGGAGGGTACAGGAGGAGACTGGCTCCAGGCTGCAGAGAG